GCTGAACCGGCCAAGTGCATTTTTTTTTATTATTATTTTTACTTGTTGGGCAGCACATTTTGAACATTAATGTTTAATGTTCTGTATTTTTTGTTGAGTAAAAACCATGGTTTTATTTATTTTATTATTTTACATTTATTTTATATAAAAATAATTTAACAATACCCACACTAATAACTATCATCAAAACAAACAGAATTTTACTTAATTCCCTCACTATCAATTCTCTCACTAACAATTCTCTCACTATTAATCTTCTCACTATTAATTCCTCCAGTATATCTTTGAAATCAAATGGGACCTAACAATAGTCTAACTCCACTTTGTCCCTCTATAGGTTCTATCAGTTGTTTATTTTAGGAGAAATTTTAATTATGTGTAGATTTTTTTAAAAAGATTATAAATAAATGATAAATTTTATGCATATTAATGATTAAAAAAAAACTTTTTCAAGAATATGTAATAATTTTCTAATAGTACCACTGATAGGTAATTTTTTCTTTATTCTATTTGTCTTTTTGTAGTTATTCTATGAATCAATAAATTTTAGAATAATTACTTTTTTTGGGAAATTCTACTATACACCTCCTTGAAAGGGATATACCATATGCATTCCTAGTTATATCATTTTTATTTTTAGTTATTACCAATTTTCTTTTTTAATTAAGACAACATTTTAGTTATGACTCATGAGATTTTTGGTTATGCCTCATGTAGTGTTTGGTTATAACTTTTTTTTCCTCTTTTTTTTTTACTCAAAAAGTATGAAATTATGTCAATTGTTTTTTAGTTATAAGGTGCATATGGTACACACCATTTGAGAGGGCATGTACCATAATATTTTCCTATATTTTTATATCAAATTTAATTTGTTATATGAGTAGTCATTGTTATATTAAAAATATATATAAATTATGAAATCTATTAAATTAAGGTCACTGGGGTCATAAATCTATTTCTGAATCTTTTGGATCATTAGGCTCAGACTCTAATCTGTTGGGGTTAAAAGGACACAATTTGTCTTATACCCCTTTGGGATGGGCTTTTCACCAATTTTTCCTTAAATTAATGTAGTAATGATAATTTAAATGCTAAATTAAATAATAATACTAGTTATATTTATCATATTTTTGTATGATATTATCCTTATCAACACAATATTAATGTAATAAATCTCACTACTCAAATATAACTCTAATATATGATTGACAACTAAACTAACATATTAGATAATAAAATAAGATGATAAAAATAAATAATTATTACAACATTACATTCAGTATAATCTCAATTAGATTCATGACTAAGATTTGACGATGATAAACAAGTTTTTATAAGTCAAGCGACCGCCTTAGATCCATAATATTTTATTTTATAACGTCAAAGTGGTAATGAAGGTCCCATAGCTACCATTGCAATAATGAACGGATCGTGAGGGTGATTAGTAGTATTTGTTTGGTGGTAATTGTTGTGTTGATATTTTGTTTATTTTATTTTTACTTTATCTTTTTGTGTTGCAATAATGTTCTTTGTAGAGAGATTTCCTTCTTTCATGGAGATTGATTTTTCTTTATATGCAGGCTCTTTTTAAAAGAGTTCTATTTTTATTTCTACATATTTTATTGCATAACTTATTATCGAGTATAACTTATTATCGAATGTGCAATGTAATAAGTCTCGTGTTTTTTCATCAATATATATATATACACACATATAATGATGTATCAATCAACATTTGTATGTGTTCTCTGGTGATCAATTCTGCAGACGTAATTAATGTGATAAATACATTGTCTGTAATTTTTTTATGTCAATGATACACCATAGCACTAGGCTGCTAGCTTTATATTAGTAAATGCAATCGGACTTGTAATCATGTTTTGGAAAAAAATAAAATTGTTCACACCTTTTTATTGTGTGGTTAATATAAATTGTAATTACAAATTTAGGAAAAATGAATTGTTGACACATGGTATAAATGGCACTTGTTTAAAATGTCACGGGTATAAATTTGTAATGGCAATTGTTGACACATGCTTTCAAACATGTCTCTCTCTCTCTCTCTCTCTCTCTCTACCACTATTGATACTGTAGCTCCACCCATGATTATTTTATTTTTTTGATAAATAGCTCCACCCATGATTATAATCAATCTAGATGAAATATAGATTAGATTTATTTATTTCATTGTGTAAGAACTAGATTATATGAATCCTAAATGTGAGTTTACACAATCAATGTCTAAATCTATCACCTCCTAAAGATTTTTCCCCTGGCAAATACATCCATGCTTATCCATGGTATTCATATTTGGTGTCGACATTATAAAATTATCTTGATCAATGATGTAATTTCTTTCCGGAGAGAACCATGAAAATATGAAAAGTTCTAACATCTTTGTACTACCTTTTGAGACACCAAAGTAATCTGAGTTAAACTTATTTCCAACATATGAAAAGATGTATGGGTACTCAATGACACCTCCAACAAAACTGTAAAATGGGAAGGGGTAATAAAGAGAAGATCTGAGAAAGCAAACTATATAAAGTTCAATTGAAAGAAAAAGCATTCAAAGCATAACAAAATTTGTTTATTTCTCATTTGTTCCAAAAATGCCAAAACAGTTGTCCCAAGAGATTTGTCCTCCTTAAAATAATCACCATGGTGGCTATGAAAATTAGGAATATACAGGATACCTTTGATAGGTTTTGAATCCAGCTTATCTAATTACATATTTATACTCTCTCCAAATAATAATAAAAAATTAAAAAATTAATAAAAAAAACACTTTAGGAAGATATGCTGCATACTAACTACTGGATTTGGGGTATCATAATGTACTAACCATGGATATTCTGGGACTTAAAACACAGAACACTGAAAGAAATGAAGGTATTCAATGACTCTTCCAAAACCAGAAAAAATAGAAGAGAAAATGAAGCATTCAGTCCTGAGAAGGTTGATAGACCAGTCATCAAAGCAGAGCTAAATTAGCATTTTTCTTTTTCTTATGATAGGACAAAATCAAATTTGTCCAGAAATAGCTCCCACAAATAGTTGCCACACTGATTATGCAAACCAGAGCATACATGTCACAGTAGCCTTTGTTCACTAGGATGTTGCAGCAGTTTGAATTCTAGTACCACTGGTTTAGTTTGGTGAAACAGAGTAACTAACAGTGGCAGTGGTAGAATCATCCTATGGTTACCAGGTTTAAAGCTCACTCTACTTCCTGTTTTCTTGCTTCCCATTCATACTTATGAACTTAGGAAGCATGGAAGCTGACAATAGAGATTTTGCTAGGGAGAGAAATTTTTTGATGAAAACTGAAGTTGTTGGTACTGCAGAAGCTAGAAAGGGAAGAAAGCTTCATGGAAAGAAGTTAGGAGTTGATAATAGTGGTAACCATAATTTAGATGACACTAAGGAAGCCTGTAGAGGGACAGAAGGACAAAATATTAGTTCTGTTAGAGAAAAGCTTGAATTTGAGGTTACAGATGGAAAAGTTGCATGGTCCTCTTCTCAAGTTTCAAGGAAGAAAAGTAAAAAGGTTCTTTTCAGAAGAGGTGTGTGAAAAATTTTGGTTAAGTTATTAAAATTTTGGTTCTTTTTGTTTTCTTTAATTTTATGGGGTTTTTTTTGGGATTTTTTTTTTTTTGTTACATTCTTATTTCTTGGACTGAGAACTGTATCAGCTCTTTTACCATTTTCTTCAGGCATCAGCACTTGCTTATCTCAGTTGCTTTATTAGTTGTTTCATGAACACAATATATATACATATTTGTATTATTAGTTTGATGGAATATGATTGGGTCATTCATAGAAGCATTTGTTTTTCTCTAAAAATGTGTTGCCTTTTTTATTCGTTTGTTTTTTCCCCCTCCATTCATGCTGAAATCAATTTGCTGTTTTTATTCAATCATTGATTAAACATATGAGGTTGAGCACATTTGCTTTGTCTTCTTGAAAATTTATCCCATCAAGATCAAATTGGTCAATAACTCCATCTTGTTTAGTATCGGAGTTGGTTTGGGATAATTTGCTACATATCCCAACAGTTATTTGAGGAAGCAAGTACGATTTCATGCAATGGAATTCTGAAATTCAGTGATCTTAGATGATTCTGAGAAGTTGCATTAATGTATTTTGTCTTTGGTTTGTATCATTGGTTTTTGGGTTAAGTTGGTTGAGAGAAATGTTTGTGGGATTAGGGAGTGTTTTTACATGTTGCAGGATTGATAATAGGGAACAATTTCCCACTAAAGTACCATTCAGTCCTATTAACACTATGTTGACTGAAAGACTAAATGACGTGTTTATATGTCATCTCATTATCTCATTCACAATTGGTGATTTTCCTTCTGCTTTAGTTTCCATCTGTGGTGGAAATTTTTTTATGGCAGTGATGATAATTTAATAACCACTCCAAAAGAGAACAAAAGGGGGAAAAAACTGAGTTGGTGTACAATTATGTGGTATGTTGTGGCTGTTGTGGCTGTTGTTTGGATGCATTAAATCATGTGGCGTGCTTATCTACTAGAGAAATGCATATCACTTTCAGTTGTGATCATTTTCACTCTGGCATTTTATACTAATTTATTTTTTAAATATTATTTATTAATTGTAAATGTATAATTACTTAAGTAGTTAAATCTTGATTTACGTGTGGAAGATATAGTTGTTCTAGAAAGTATCATTAGGCCAACAGAAACAGTTGCAATCGGAGTACTTAAAAACACAGACCCATCTAAAGAAATAGAAGGGAAAAAACTAGGACCTGACTATTGTGAGGTACATGTTCAAGTGCCAGTCAAACCTAATGAGAGCTTGATCCGATCATATGGACTTGTCAAAACAATTGGACAAGCTATTAGAGCTCATGTTGCTTGGCCTGCTTTATTTGTGATATATTTCTTACGTAAATATTAATTTCATTAACAAATTTATATTAACTTAATATAGTTTCAATTACTTTTATATGTTCATCTTTTTTTTTTCAGATTTTGCAAGTTATGGGTGCTAGCCGAGAATATTTATACAAGTGAGGTTGAGAATTTGAGAAGTGAATTTGTTTTGATAATTTGTCTCTCTGGAAGATGGATATGACTATGGCTTTTCAAAACTTATGGTTGGAATAATTTTCTTTTAAATTTTTTTTGCTGTAACTTTGTTAGTATGGTAGAATATTTTATAATTTTGATTATGATTTGTATTGCAATATAAATAAATCTATATTTTTAGATAAAAAATTAATTGTGATTTGAATTTTTTTGGTTTTGTTTTTGATATGATGATCCTATGGTGATAATATTTGTCTATTATTATGAAAATATTACAGGATGAATGAATGTCAAATTAATATAGGATGTGGCAATTAATATTTAATTGTTTATGAAGTCGATTCAATTTTTATAGACGTTTACGCATGCTTCGTTGTGGCTTTTAAAAGTGTCAATGAAATGAACATATAAGTGGCATTTTGTAGTAGTAGTAATAGCTTTGTAAAGTGTCACTAGAATAAGTTCCAAGGGCACTCATATCTATTTAATGGCACAAATGAATTGGATTTAGTGACATTTATGAAGTTGTTAAATATATCAATTGTGGCATAATAAGTGCCATTAAAAATTTATATAGTGGTATTTTTTAGATTATAAGTTTTTTTTATGGCACTTGATAGCGTCATGAATAGTGTCTACCATGACATTAAAGTGTCAGTGTGTACCATGACATTAAAGTGTCACCGAAAGTTTTTAGCGCTGATGGTGTAATGACACTTACAAGTGTCATTGAAGTGCCATTCAATCTTTTTTTAATGACACTTGATAGTGTCACAAATAGTATCTATCATGACATCAAAATGTCATTGAAAGTTTTTAGCCGTAATGGCGTAATGGCACTTGCAAGTGTTATTGAGGTGCCACTAGTATCTACCGTGGCAAGGGTATAAATGGAACTTGTTTAAAATGTCACAAGACTAAAAAATGTCATTTGAAGAATAGTTTTGTGACACTTTCAAATGTCACTAAATTAAAAAAATGTTGTAGTGACATCTTTTTAGTGTGTGAATAATATACAAAATATAATTAATTTATGTGAATCATATATCTAAGAAGTATAATGTGGCCCCTATACTATTCCACACCAATCAAAATGCATGTATTATTTACGCACTAAAAAACATACTCTATTTCTGGGAGTTTTATCTAGAATATAAAATGATGGAAAAATTATAGAGGTTCAACTTGTGGGGTTTGAACCTGAGCAACTCAAGCTCAAGTCGAATTTTTTTAAGGCTTAGGCAAAATATTTTTGAATTCGGTGCTAGTTTGAATAAAAATTTCAATTAAATTTTGGCAAGTTTGGGCAAAAATACCAAACAACAAGAGTAACTTGAAATCCGAATTACAAAAATATTAAATAGATATATATGAATCATTAGTTATTGGATAATGTTAAAGTAATTTAGATCGTTAGATCATATTGAATATAATTACATACACAAGTAACACAACACAGAACTTTACATTTTTTTTCACCAAGAAATTATAAAAACTGCTGTAGTGACACATCGTTCTTCAATTCTTATCTCTCTCACATTATATAAATCATTTAGTTTGATATTATTAATAATTTTATGAAAAAGAAAAAAAATGTTAGTAGAGTCTAATTGAAAACAAAATAAAAAAAATTAAAAAAAAATAAATTAGTTGCACAAAAATAAAAATTAAATTTATATGCAATTCAGACAATTCAAGCCTAACTCAGGTCCAGTTTGGACAAATAATCTCAAGCTACAATTCGAGTTTGAATGGATTTGAGCAACTCTCGGTACAATTCAAATTAAACTTGGATAACTTTTCAACCCACTCAAGTTCACCTTAGAAAATTACATCCCACTAGTGTTTTGGGGCTTTTATTTACGGGTCAGTGAGAAATGCTTTCAAATTTCAGTAGAGATGGAAAACTACAAAATGAAGGAATCTTTCTTTCCTCTCACGTGCCTACTCTAACTTTCCCTCAATTTTCATGTTTTCTTTCCCTCTCTTCTTTCTTAACTCATTCACTCTCTCTCTCTCTCCTCTCCTAGATGGAAAAATAAAGGAGGCGGCAACACACTTTTATCTAGAGTACACTCGATGAATTGAGATGTGCATGTTGTAAAATTTATTATATAACTTTCAATATTTGTAGCATTGAGTATTTTCTAATGTTCTGCCGAGAAAAAGTCATTGATTTTAGCATCGAGTGTCCTATCAGTCGATGATACAATCAAGTTAAGTAATACTAACCTCGATTTTACAAGAATAGATATTAGTTGATTCATCTCTCAAGTACTAACAATGTTCCTAGATAATGAGGTAATTTCCCCAGACTTGATTGTGTATCAAATTTTAACATTTGTTAGCCATAAGGATTCTTTTCAGTATTTTTGAATGACCATTTTTGTTTAGAGATTCATACAGATCAGCCATAGCTCAGTTCACTACAAAAAATGGGACTTTTAACGACGGATAAAAACCATCGTTAAAAGTAAATAAAATAAAATATCGTTGTAAAAAGTATTAGCAATGGATGAGCGATGGATGAGGCATGACAAAAGCGTCGCTATTTTCTGGCAACAGATTTTTAAATCTTTTGCGACGGTTAGTGTGACAACCCGACCCTCTCATATGCTTTAAGTTTTTAACTATATGTGTGATTATATGCTTGATGTGAAATTATATGTTTAATTGTGTGAATTACATGATTATGGAACTATATTTGTCGACTGTAGAAAAATCTGTTGTAATTATAACCTTTAATCTGAAAATTGAAGACCTTAGAGACTTCATAAACCAAAACCGACCACATAGTTGTGATTAGTATTATTTTTAGAACATAATATGAAGTGTTGTAAAATTTGATTTATAATGAATTAATTGGATTTAATTAGGCTAAACCCTTAGTTAAGCTTAAGTTAGGCTCAAATAAACTAATCCTTAGTTAGACAAGGGATATATATACATGAACCTTAGTGTTAAAACTTAGAATCTAACACAAAAATATCTCTTGGAGGAGAGCTAGAGGAAGAAAAGAGAGAGAGAAAAGAGGAATTTCAACCTAAAGCTCAGAGATCGAAGAAATTGAAAAGGGGAATTCAATGAATTAGCTCAAGGTAAGTGTAAATCAACTAAAATACTTTAAATATTTCTTTAATTGGTTAAAATCAAGACTTAAGATGAAGCTTTGACGGTCATAAAAGTTAGGGTTTTTGGATTATGATCTTAACTAAACAAATCTCATGAAAATGAACATGGAACCCTTGGGCTTGTCTAATTAAAGGGTTGATTATTTTATTTTGGGTTTGTCTTAAGTTAGATTATGAGAAATTGCTTTCTAATCTTGAGTCTTTGCATGATTTGAACTCATGAAAGCATATGCAAGCATTTACAACATGAAAAGATAAAGAAAATGAAGGAACTATGGAAGTTAGGGTTTTCTATTTGGGATTAAAGTAAGTTATGATCTAATTGAGCTTGAATGTCATTCTTAGTATGTTCATATATCATGTTTTTGAAGTGAATTTTCTTGAATTGAACCTTAGAAATGTGTTTGGGAACTTGAATATTGAATAATCTTCAGACTGCACAAACAGGGCAAGAACCGCACGTGAAAACAGGGCAATTCAAAGCATCAATTCTGAAATAAGGGCACACGTGGGCTGCACATGCGGAAAACATGGGGAAAAAACTATTAAACTTCGTTCACCTTTTCGACCCTCTGAATCTGTTGAGGAGCGTATTTAAACCCTTTGAACTGCTTAAAGAGAAATAGAAATTAAATGAAATAGAAAATTGAATAAATAAAGGAAAGGTTAAGAAAATAGGCTAAGAAAAGAATGAATTGCTTATCAAGTTTGTATGTGTGTAATGTATAGGTCAATCGTCAGAAGGGACCACTGCATGACCAAAGTCACTCTGAGTGATAGCAGTGTAACGATATGTTATGACTTATGTATTTTTTATCTTGAATGACATACTTTATACAAGTTGTGTTTTGTTTGAGCTGATTGAGCATTTGACCACAATGGCATATGAAATGGACTTGAGGTCGTTCTGTTTCTGTTATATATGATGGGCTTGAGGCCGTTATGTTTGATATGGATCGCTTGTGAATTATGGGCCCAAGGTTGTTCTGCTGTATATGGGAGATAGAGACACGTCGATGTTCCATCTACTCTATGATAAGAAATGTTTGGACCTAAGGTCGTTCAGAATAGTTTTTACTACGTTGGGCCTAAGACCGTTCCGTATTATGCTGGGCCCAAGGTCTTTCTGTCTTATGTGGGCCCGAGGCCATTCAGGAATGTGATCATGAATAATAAATGTATAAGTTATATATCTATATTTCTCAAGACATATGCTCATTCATTTTAACCACCTTATATTATTATTACTCACTAAGCCTCACTCACTCCGTATTTATATATATAGAAATATATGCAGGTGATCAACCCAGAGGCCAGCCTTAGGTCAGCTTTACGAGTCATTTTTAGTGGACCTACTTTAGGAGTCATTTTTAGTGGACCTGCCATTCGTGCACTCGAGCGGGCTTTGCAATCTTTGCTCCTCCGCTCAAGCGGCACTTTTCGCGCTTGAGCGGACTTTACAAACTCTCAGTATTTTCCAGGCCTGCAAAACTACTGGCAGAATGTTTTCTACACTCGAGCGGCATTTCCTACACCTAAGCGGGTGGGCGCTCGAGCGGCCTTTCCTGCGTTCGAGTGTTGTTTTGTTGTCTGTAAAACTTCTAAATGTGTGTTTTCTACGCTCGAGCGGCGAATTCTTGCGCTTGAGCAGTGAGTGTTCGTTGTGTTTTGGCGCTCGAGCAGCCTTTATTGCGCTCGAGCAGAACCACTTATTGTGTCTGATGCTCGAGGATCAACTCTTTCGCTCAAGCGGACTGTGCGTTTATCAGATCACGAAAGTGACATTTTATATCACTTTTTCATTCCTCTCTCTCTCTCTCTCTCTCTCTCTATCTAAAACTTTCCAAAAATCTAGATCTTGACTCTCTCTCTCTCTCTAAAATACTCTCTCTTTCTCTCTCTCTCTACATTTTGACCTAGATCTTTTGGGTTATCTACCCTAGTGTCTTTGAAGAAAAGGCAGAGCATTCCAAGAGCTTCATTTTGATCTGATTGGAACTTGGTCTCGGCGTTGTTGAGGGTTCTACTTTGCTTAGCTTGGTCTTCTCTTCTTGAGGTAGGGATTTTCTACACTTTAATATGGTTTTTAACTTGGTCATTTGTCTTTCCGTAACAATGGTGGGATTTGGGGGTAATGTG